TTTTCACTAAAATCCCTGAAGATGATATTTCAGCAAAATATTTATTTTTATTCAATGACAAGTGTAAATATATCGAAAATTCGTCCCCAACATTTGCAAAAAAAGTAATTCAATAAAACTAAAAGTTAAAACTCAAAAAAGATTTCTTTTTTTTTTGGAGAGTTGGTGCTTGCATAACCGAACCACATTATTTTATAAACTTTTTCAGATTGGACTAAATAGAAAGAAAAATCTACACACGATGAAAAAATCTCCCAAACGTAATAAAAAACAAAGTTTTAGCAAAAATTTCCCGTAGACCCTGTATACATGGGGTCGGATTTGTCTACTTCCCCAAACGATAGCCTCGTCTGGGTTCCTCTCCGCCCGGGGGCAGAGAGGAAAAGAAAGCCTTCTAAGTCTTTTGGCATGTTGTTGAGCGGGCACGTGGAAGGGAATTTTTCTTCTGGGACTTTAGAATCTAGACTGACAGGATACTCAGTGTCTGGTAAGGCCCGATCTGAGACGCTGGAGAATGTCGAGGTCGCATTTTGTCTGTGGTTTCAGAGGTATCTTTCCTTAAGTGGGAAGGCGGAAATATGTGTATCGCATATCTATCCAATTCTCCTTTAACAACTCTATGTACTCCCACTCCGTATATAGCATAATGCAATTTGTTAGGAATTAAGGACACAGGTGATAACGATTGACGTTGCATTTTAAAATTTTTGAAAATCAAATTCCTAAAAAAATACAAACTGAAAAAGAAATATTAGAAAAAATGGAGCAGGTTAGCAGCGGATTTTTGCTTTTTGTACATTTTACTTTTTTTCTACGTAAGTTATATTCAGTAATCATCTATAATAATTGACAGGGCTTTCTACCCGGAACCTTTCAACGGCATCCCGCTACCACCATTTTTTTTTTATCAATTTTCGTACAAAAAGTGGATCATAGAGCTTATTCAGCTTAATATATATTTTTTTAGAAAATCTCAACTTCTAATTGGTCACTTAATATTTAATAATATCGACCTAGTGCTTGATCTGACCAAAAAGATAATTCCGCCAAAATCTATCAAGCTTCTGTGAGCCTATCACGTGACAAAAGTTAGCAATAAAATATGAAACGTTTTTCATCTTCGACAGTGCGCCGATCGGAATCCTTTGAATTCGTCACACAGTTCCAGGCTTTATGTTAAAATTCCTTAACATGATTCCAGCCTGAGAGAACACTCATTCACACAGCAAACTTTTATGACGAACAATCAACTCAAGTTTTCCACATTCAACTTAATACACGAATCTTTTTCATACGCTTTCAAACTCAACGTTAATTATTGCAGTTTAACATAAAAAACAGCTTGTTAAGAACGACTTACCCCAACCAGTGAAGACAAATGAAAGAGCGACAATTCTGCAAACCTTAAAGTAAGTCGTAAACAATATTTTTCTGTTTCAAATACAAACTTGAACTGTTTATTTTTTTCTTAAATTACTATAATACCCAAACACACTTCCTCATTATTGTACAGACCATTCAACAAATTATATTCTATCAAACCAGAACTTTGATAACTTTTCATCTAAACATAAAAGGACGTTTGAACTTTTTAAAACTACCTTTTTACTCCTGTTGTTTGTGCCTCTTTGTTATATAAATATTTTATTCATTGTTGTGCAAAAACTGTTGTTTCTCATGTTATCCTTATTCTATGTTTGTTGAATACTAAAATTTAATGTGAGAAGAAATTATTAATTTCATCACGCAGCCTAATTTACTTAACAATTTTTTTATTCATATAATTTAATTAATTAACACAACCTCCACTGGGAGGCAATTTTAGTAGTGCTTATTTTTTTTTTACATTTTTCTCTGCTCTCTAACGACTTCTGTCTGAACATTTCTTTTAAACCAGTTAGGGTAAAATCATTTTTTATTCTGAGTTCATCCACTAAGGAAAATCTTTGATTTTTATTTTTCTTAGTAATAGTAATATTCAGAAGTCCAGTATTGGAATTTAATTTGAGAACCACAAATAAAATATTTTACCTTTCTGTCGTTGACCTACGAACTGACTAAACTGCAAAATTCCTAATCTATCGACATTTTCGTACTCTGCAAGAACTTTGAAGAAAATTGTGAGTGTTTCTAACCTTTAACAAAATTCTACTTGTTTAAAGAACTTTTAGGCGCACAGAGAAATATTTTGAGTAAGCCTTTTTTATGAACATTTTCTCTTCCTTAAAGTTCAAGGACTTTTTTTTCTCTCCTAATTGTCTTTATGTCTGTATATGTAATAAACACTTTCTTCTTTTATTGTTACATACCGAGTCTTTCTTTATTCGTCCACCTAAAATGGAGAGTTTGTCTGCTCTAATCTTGCTGTTTTTATTCAATTTTTGTCACAAGTTTTTAACCACAACCCTTTCATGTGGGAAAGCCAGGACAAATTTCCCGCACCACGGCTAGTAATTAAAATAAAATTTCTAGTCCCTATTATTTACATTTCTAGAAAGATAAGACCAAAAAATCGATCGCTTAAAAAATAAAAATGTTTAGATATTTCAACACATGAAAAAATTGTCCTAAAAACTGAAATACTGTTTTTAAAACAAAATTTGAAAAGATTAGCATAGACACTGCCATTCCCAACAGTGAAGCTTCATCAGGGAATGTGTATATAATTCGCTTGCCAATTTGATTCTAACCAAGGCAATCTTTGTACCAGGCCTGGCAACCATGCAACTATGGTCAACAACTGGGAGCAGACATGTGAACACCTAAATTACTACTAAATAACAATTACTGAGAACATTTTTAGCAAGGAACTTGTTAGTAATATCCAATAATTAGTTAATTAGCAACTACCTATAATATTAGGAAGCAACTTACAATTATTGAGTTATTTCCATAAATTCAAATTTACAAAGAAAGAATAAAAATACTATAAAATCAAATGTATAAAAATCACTTTATTCACCATAAATTAGACATTTTTAGATGATATTGTAAAAATAATAATAGTTTGTGCCAATTGATTACTGAAAATATAATTATATCAATCAGAAAGCAATTTCAGCATCTTACAAAATCGTGTATCAACAAAGTCAGAAAATAATTTACAAAAATGTGAATTTTAGAAAAATAATAATTTTGATAATCTTTACAAAATTTATTGTGATTTTTGTTTTGGTATGATAAAATAATAGATATTACGAGTTTGTATAGTTTTAAAAATTAAAAACAATTTACATTATTAAGTACACAAAATTAATTAACAGTATAATTTGGGGAGTTACCCAAATAATGTCTCTTTTACATTTTTCTGGTATTTTTTTAAGAATAATTGTAAAATGTTAAATTTATTGAATTTAACTTTTGACATTAACTTTGTGATAAATTCTTATAAAGTGTCATTTTCATTACCATTTTTTAATGTATTCTATTTATTTACAAATGCCAGAAAAAACATACCTTTTAAAAAAAATACCTGTTCTGTTAAAGATAAATTATTATTCATAAAAAATTAATTTTATGCTTAATATTGTGATTGTTGAAGAACAATAGCATAGAGAAAAATATTAAATTTATTTTAACTTTATGTGATAGAATTCTTAATGACACTTGTTTCTCACCAAAAAACTTTGTTTAAAGATAAAATATTGCACGTTCAAATAAATTATACTTATCATTATACCTATCTTAAATATAAACTTAATCGAAAAGTAAAAGACTTTTTAAAAATAAATTAATTTCTTAACCATATTCCTGCAATGAAATTTCGCTTCTTAATTGTTGGCTCCCAGTCCCTGTAGAGCTACACGCGCTATACAGGCCTAGGTTAAGAATTGTCTTCATTCAAACCAAAATGTTTCCTAGACACAGAGCCCCCTTACAGGTGGTGACATAATTACATGGAGAACATGAATGAAGTCATGAAGGAAACATTAAATAGTTTAAATATCCAACATATTACTACTTCTCCATAATATCCTCAGAGTAATGTCAAAGTCGAAAGATTCTTTGGAGACATTTTGTCAAAAAGGTGACACAGGGAAAAAGCAAGACTAGGATGTGCATCTGAATTAGGCATTGGCTGCAGTGATGTTCACAATGAATGACACCAGAAAATTTTTACCATACTTTTCCACTGCCTGACCCAGGGATTGAACACACAATCACTATGTCACCAAATTCAGAAACCAATACTTTATCCTTTACCATGCTAATTTCTTTCTAGAATTGTCCCCACTGACAGAATTTTTTTTTTAGGGGGAAAAAAACATGAACACCTACTGTTTTAAGATTGTTATAACTTTCTTTGTATTGTGTATAGATTTTAATTTTTGTACACTGATAAAAGAATGAATGAGTAATATTTTGATGTAATGCATTACGTTTTGCATGTATGTTTTGACATTGAAAAAAAAAATTGAAGCACGAAATAAAAAACAAATACATTAAAAAAATGCATAAATAATTCAAAGTACTTTAACTTTTATTTGTTCTTGTGGAATTCTGGGGGTGAAATAAGAAGCAAAATCGCTAAGAAGGCATTCATTTCGTCAAAAAAATTATGTGTTTGCTCGTGTTTATATACGAGAAGACACTAGCATTTGTTTGCTCTTTCTTTCACCTAAAGAGAGAATTGTCAGCTCTAATCTTTCAAGGCATTGTTGCTTTTATCAATTCTATCACATTTAACAGTAACCCTTTCATGTGGGAAAGCCGGGACAAATTTCTCACACCTACTCTAGCTAATTGCTCTAAATCTGATGTGATCTCTCCTGGTTATTGTGGTTTAATTCCATTACCATTACCATGGGGAAAGGGGAACTACTCTGAATCGGAAAGGGCCAAAGGCTCTTTGGGGACGGAGTTACGTCGGGAGAGGAATTAGGGACGGGATACTTGGTGGACCTGTCGATGTATACTGTGAAATAAATAACCTTATTTAAATCCAATTACGTTAAAATGTCCTACATTTCCTTTTAAACCAACAGCTTTGATGGCTTACAGCCACATCATATTAAAACACTAGTTCCAATAAAATCACCGAAGTTAAGCAATGTCGAGCCTGGTCAGTACTTAGGTGGTGAACACTTGGGAATGCTAGTCGCTGTAAGTTTGGATGTGTGGGTGACATAATGGATAATAGCTTGGAATTGTTCATTTACATGCACATATCCTTGGGAAAGGTATGAATCCACTTCTTTTCCCCCCAGCTATGGGTTAATTGGTAACCACTGTCACCTCAAAAAAAAAAAAAAATTCTTAAAATCTGAAAATATTTTCTCGCTTTAAATAACCTACAAAGGATTGACAAGTTGTAAAAACGAATCAATAGCTATGATGCGTCATTGCTTGACACAAAGAATAGAGATGTACAGGGTGGTCTGAGAGTCTTGTCACCCACTACCAAAAAGTAATGAGAAGAATAGAAGAACAATACAGTAATACAAAGCACATGTACTGGATTCAGTTTATTCACTTTCATTAATGCTGTCACACATTGAAAAGGTCTGTATGTACACCATCAATTTTTGTGTCAGCCATATGAAATAGAAAATTATATTATGTAGGGAATCACCCCGTACTGTTATGTTCAATGATTTGCATTGACAGAAAATGTCACTACAAATCATTGAATATCTGCTGATGTGGTTTTATTCTACTATCAATTTCTGGATGTTGCATACTTTTGGCCTTGTGCCACATCTAAGCTACGCTTAGAAAATCATTGGGCACCTCAAGGCCATGTAATGGTTAGCAAGCTTGTCTTGCTAGAACAATTATGACTGAGTAGTGAGTTTGATTCTCACTGGGTGTCCCATACTTTTGGCCTTGTGCCACATCTAAGCTGCATTTAGAAAATTAATATTCTACTATCAATTTGTTTTGGTGGGTAAAAAAAAAATGAGGGTACGAGAAATGGCATGATACTTAACCTTTAAAGAAAGAAAAGAAAAAATAGATTTCGGAAAAAAATTTGTTTGATACAAGAATAAATATATTCAATAAACTAATTCAGGTTAAAGTTCTCAATCATGACAAGACAATTTTAAAAATTAAATGTTTTTATTTCAGGCACAAAATGTGTTGCAAACATCAATTTTCAGGATTTTATCCAATGCATATCCAAATAGTAATTGTGCATAAATTTTGAGATGAAGAAGATGAACGCAGGTCCTGACTGTAGCCATTAGGAAATCAAATTTTCCTTTAATGTATCAAATGTCTTGATATCTTTTTACTTGCTTTCTAGATCTTCTTATTCCATGTGTCACATCTCCTCAGGATGTAGGCAGTCATGGCTCTCCACACTGTCTTATCAATTTGCCAAGCCTCCCACCCACCGTTTTAACATTCATTCACACAACTGCATTTGGTAAGCTGGTTGTCCTTTTTCCTTCAATATGTCCTGTGTCTGTTTTGTTTCCGTTTTCCTTAAGATGTTTTCCTTATGTGCTCAATCTATGGAATTCTCAGCATCCTTCTGTAGAACCCCATTTCTGTTGCCTCCAGTTCTATCTTCATCTGAGGAAGTTATCTGGTATTCATTGTCATAAAATATAAAAAGTTCAGCACTATTTTCTTTCTAATGAAATGTTCCTGGTTCTTCATACATTGCTAAGCTTTTTGAAGGCACAAAAGCTAAATACATCAAGAAATAGCAATATAGGGCAGAGGATTTGGTAGATTTTTGTTTTGTTTTCACCAGACCAAATTTCAATTCAATTGAACTTATTATGGGTCAAGATTAGGGTTTTCATTTTCCTTCTGAGGTTTAGTGTTTGGGTTCATAGTAAGAGTTTTTCATTTTCATAGTTGGGCAAACAATCTTTTTTTCTTTTTAGGCTACCATACTTTAAAATTATGGATGTTTGCTTTTAGTAGGTGGATGGAACTAACCAAAAAAATGGCTGCCAAGTGTTTTAATTGATAAATTCTTTTAGCTATCATAAGAATAAAAGTGAAGATACGAGACAAGTTGCTTTTCTGCTTGCAGTCAATGTCAGAAAACAAATTTGGTGATAAGTCAGACCAAGTTTTCATTTAATATGCAAATACAGATATTTGATCACTGTGAATATGCAGGACCACACACATCACAAAATGGTGACATTAAAGCAATTCAGCTGTTTTGATAAATATGTATAAAGGAGTGGGGCACTCACTAGGAGGGGGGCACATCCAATGTTTTGATAGATCCATATAAATAAGAAATATTTTTTTTTATTTGATATCCTGAAGAAGTTGTAAACATTAATAAGACATTAATTTACTTGAATAAGATCCTTACATTTGAGTTATTGTCAGATGGAAAACACAAGCCAAGTACTTTTGACAATTTCAAATTGTTACCTTCAGGGTACAATTTTCCCATACATAGGCAAACACTAAGACAAAATATGTGTAGACTAAAAGATGTTCTTTTTAAATTATGCTATTTATCGACAGTTAAATATATGTTTTGAAGTGTGCAATGTTGCAAAGCTAGAGTTCTTGTCCAAATTGATCAAGTGAGAACTTTTTTTTAATTTTGAAAAGTGATAAATCCATAAAATTATTTGTTATACGTGTTTATTAGTTAAAGTGAAATGGACTTAAGTATAATCCAATTAGTAGAGCAAAAATCTCTTAGTAGTTTTCCACAGAATTTAAGATTCTGATTATTGCGTACTGTGGATCTGATTTTGTAAATATATTAGCGTGCAGCTTATATTTTATAACATAATTTATACAAAGAATTAATTAGCAACGTTAATATGATTAATGGTGAAATCACTTTGCTAACAAGGCTTAATGAGACATTAACTTATTATCAATTTCTCGAATAATAAGTTCCTTATATTTAAGTGGTTGTAAGATGGAATCTTAGATCTGTATAAATGAGAAATATGATGAAATATTTTTTATTTGATATCTGAAGAAGTTATCAACATTAAACAAAAATTTCTGCACATAAAATTTGCTTAATATATTTAGGATGTGTGGGTGGTGCAATGGAGAGAGGCTCAAGATGAGAAATTGGAGAGCTGAGTTTGAATTCCAATTGAGTTTGTTACATTCACTTACATGCAAATAACCTTGGGAAAGTTATCAATCCATCTTTTCTCCTCCCAGACATGGATTAAACAGAAGAGTGTACAATGAGTGAATATGGCAATGAAGAGGAGGATAACAGTCCAAAAATTGTCAAAAAAATGCAAGTACAGAGCTTGACATTTGTAAATAAAAATGATGTACAGATAACTCTTTATGAAGTCTGGGATTGATTTGACAGTGCATTAATATGGACAGGACCCACACTTTTTCAAAATGAAAAAAAAATCAATCTTTTTTTGACAAATATCATGATTTCAGGAAGATCTAATGCAGGGGTCAGCAACCCCAAGCCCTGAACTACATCCAGCGCATGAAGGATTTCTGTCTATCTGGACACTAATTATCTAATTAATTTGTGAAGCAAGTGGCAGAAAAATATCAGTTGCAGTTAATTAAATTACAATGTTACAATTTTTTTAATTCCAAATCCACTGCTGACTTCTGCAAGAAATATATTTTGCAAAGTGGAAAATATAAAAGCCTATTGAATAGTGTGAAAATGATGGTATCATTATTTGGAAGTATATATGCTTGTGAACAAATTTTTCAAAACTGAAATATATCAAAATTTGTTTAGGAACAAGACAGACTGGGATTTCTAGTCATGGTTGGTAACCAGTCTAGAAGAAGAACAACTCTGAATTCAAAACTCTAATGAGCAGATTACAGGTTAAATAAGACCCCAATATAAAGTCCATATTTAAATGCTGGATTAGACCATCAAAAGTGGATTCTTTATGCTAAAATCTATGAGAATAAACAAAAAATATAAAAAAGAGTTCCAGATATTTCACAAGAAATTTCCCTTTGTTTTATGAATTTTATAAAAACCAGCATCTTAAAAAATGGAGAAGAAAGGCAACAAAAGAAAATACAGCTACAATAAACAGCACTTTGAGGAAAAAAGGAGACCCATCGACATTCTTTTAGTCATTTCCTGAATTGAGCTTTGATGAGAAAACAACAAAAACAGGACAACTGTTTTTAACAGATTTTTTTCTCATTTTTTTCCTCATAATTCTGTTTATTGTGGCTGAATTTTCTTTTCTCAAATTTCCTCTTCAATCTTCAATCTGATTTTCTAGCATTTATTAAATTTTGTACCTCCAATAAAATCTTTAAGTTTCTTCATTTCGTGTTTATATATGTACTTTCAAATTAGATAGGGTTTTCTTCAGTTTGTATTTTAAAGTTGAAATTCTTGAAAATTTAGTTGCAAATACAACACAGGGACGGTTTCCTTCCATTTTAAAGATTGTCTGAAAAATTCAAATTCCTACGTATTACAAGACTACAGTTTCTTTATAGTGTTTTTGTATGTGCACTTTCAAATTGTATCTTGAGGAAAATTTAGACTCACATTGGTCGCATGAAAAAAGGTTTTTTTCTCAGTATGTGTTTGTATGTGAGTTTTTAAAGTATAACTCGAGAAAATTTTAAACCACACACTTCACAAGAATATGGTTTCTCTCCTGTGTGTCTGCATATGTCTTTTTTAAAGATGCATTTTGTGAAAATGCATATCCACAGATTTCACAAGAATATGGTCTTTCTCCAGTGTGTATCCGCATGTGCACTTGCACATCAGCTCGTGAAGAAAACTTAGAATCGCACACATCACATGAGAAAGGCTTTTTGCCAACATGATATTGCATGTGAATTTTTTTAAAGCTGAAATCCTGGGGGAATTTTAAATCACACACTTGCAAGGATAAGGTTTTTCTGCAGTGTGCATCTGCATATGCCTTTTAAAGATGCATTTTGTGAAAATGCTGATCCACATACTTCACATGAATATGGTCTTTCTCCAGTATGTATTCGCATGTGAACTTTCAAATCTGAGCTTGTGTAAAATTTTGATCCACACACTTCGCATGTAAATGGTTTTTCTCCAGTATGTGTTAGCATGTGCATTTTTAAATTTGAACTCTGTGAAAAAGCAGCAGAACACACTTCACAAGAATATGGTGTCTCTCCAGTGTGAGTCCGCATGTGTATTTTTAAACTTGAATTTAG